GCTGCACCTAGGGATTGGGCCTGCCCTCTGCCACCCGGGAGCAGGCCTAAGTCAGCAGGTCGTTATCTCCCGAGGGGTCCCAGACTGCGAGAGGGCACAGGCCGGGCTGAGGGACCTCCCCTCCCCCCCGAGTACACAAATTTTTGTGCACCGGACCTCTAGTTATAGATAAGTCACATACAATAAAACTCACACTTTAAAAATACACAAGTCAGGGGGTTTGTTTATTCACAGTTGTGCAACTGTCTAGAATCTAATTCTGGGGCATTGCCATCATCCGAGAGAAATCTGCATCCCTTAGCAGTCAGCCCCCTCCTGTTCCCTGGCCCCTGGCAACCACTGACCTACTTTCTGTCTCTAGGGATTTGCCTCTTCTGGACACTTCCTATAAGCAAAACCCTGCACTCTGTGGCCTTGTGTCTGGCTTTTTCACCAAGCTGAGTGTTTTCAAGGTTCCTTCCTTTTCATGGCAGAATAACATTCCATTGTTTGGGGTTACTCGCCCCCGTTACCTACTGAGGACCTGCTGGGGGTGGACAGCAGGCTCTGTGCTCAGGTCATCACAGTGAGAATGACTGACACACGGTGTCCTGCTGCTCACGTGCTGGGGAGGGAGAGAGGAGAGAGATGCATCACTGCCAACTAGGACCAGGGCTTTGCAGGACAAAGACAGTCCGCATGCGCAGATGGAGCTAGGTGAGAAGGGGAACTCGAGAGGAACCCGGAAGGCCTCTCTGAGAGATGTGGGGGTGGGGTGGGAGGGAAGGAGGACCCTGGGCAGAGAAGAGCTCTGCATGTTTGTGGAGCAGAGGAGGACGCGGCATGTGATGGGGTCGAAGATGGTGGGCCCATGGTGAGGATTCTGGACTTTGTTCTAAGATCACAGGGAAGCCAGTATTGTATTCTCATCAGGGGAATGAGTGATCAAGTTTGTGCTTTTCAGACATGTACAGAAAACGGACTGTTAGGAGTCAGAAGTATTGGTGGTTGGAGGGTGGACAGTAAGAAGGCTAATTCATTCATTGGATTTTGTATAGGATTGGTTGTAATTAGACCAAAATGTTGCACCCACTAGGATATTCATTCATTCATTCTTTAACACATCTTTACTAAGTGTCTTCTAGGGGAAAAAATGAATGTCTGTGTTTTGAGAACCCTCGACAAAAGTTCTCCAAGTACCTCTCCCACTTATTTCATGCAATGAATATATTCTCAAAGAATTGTGTGTAAACCCAATTTTAATGAATTTAATTATCAGCAGAATTTCCCCAGAGGGAAATTAAGTATTTTTTAAAAAATCCAGGAAGTTCTTTTTTAGCAAACGGTGGGCTATGTTTTTAAACCAATCTTCTCCCCAAGGAAAACCAGAAAAGCTAGGTAAAATCCTATATAATAAATGCCTAATATGCTAAGTGTTTGGTCATCTGGTCAACCAACCAAAGTGTAATCTTATATAATAAAAGCCTAATATGCTAAGTGTCCATTCAACCAATCAAAGCATAATATGCTAATGATATGCTAAGGCTGCTCAACTGCTCGCTATGACATGCACTGACCACCAGGGGGCAGATGCTCCAACCAGTAGGTTAGCTTGCTGCTGGGGTCCGGCCGATCAGGACTGAGCAAGACGGGCCAGATATGCCCTGGAGCCTTCCCGCGGTCCCTCCCTGGTTGGCCAACCTCCTGTATCCCTCCCTGGCCCCGATCGTGCACCCATGGGGTCCCTCAGCCTGGCCTGTGCTCTCTCTTAATCCAGGACTCCTCAGGGGATGTTGGAGAGCCGGTTTCAGTCCAACCCCACAGGCCAAGCTGAGGAACCCCACTGGTGCACAAATTCCTGCACCGGGCCTCTAGTATGCTAATGATATCCTAAGGCTGCTCAACCGCTCGCTATAACGTGCACTGACCACCAGGGGGAAGACAGTTGACCGGTCCCTATGACATGCACTGACCACTAGTGGGCAGATGCTCCGACTAGTAGGTTAGCTTGCTGCTGGGGTCTGGTAGATCCGGAATGAGTGACACGGGGCCGGACATGCCCTGGAGCCCTCCTGCATCCCTCCCCGGTGGAGTCCCTTGGCCTGGCCTGCGTCCTCTCGCAATCTGGGACTCTTCAGGGGATGTTGGAGAGCCTGTTTTGGCCTGATCCTGCAGGCCAGGCCGAGGGACCCCTCTGGTGCACGAATTTGTGCACCAGGCCTCTAGTGTAAAATAAAAACACCTGCTTAAAGGCATTAAAGAGCCACCAAGTAATGCAGATAAAAGATAAGTACCTGGGGCCATCTTTTCTTAGAAGACTTTTGCTGATTCTGGAGTTGGCTGCTGACAGCTGAAGAGCTACATCGAACGTTCAGCAGATGTATAGGAACAGGAGTAAACGACCTGCGCTTAGGGTTGCCCAGGAGGAAAGTCTCCAGAGAACTCTCTGGTCCTAGGGCTGGACCCTGAAGGGCAGCACCCAGGAGTGAGTGTGACCTGGGAGAAAATAGGCTCTAACAGCGGTAACTTATGTTAAGAGATTATTAGTGTAAATTTCCATGGAGAGAGCTGACATCCTACAGAGCTCAAATGATCTCTGCAATTCTTCCTACACAAGAGGAAGCACCTAACTCACTAGGCAAACCCACTGAAAACAGAGAGGAAAGCAGGCAATGGCCAGCCCAGGAGAGGCAGCTGACAGAGCAGGCAGAAGCAGGCTTGAAAACAAACACATCTCAGCTTAATATGTTCAAGGAATTAAAAGGATGAGATAGAATTTCTTTTTCAGAAAACTAGAAACTATAAAAAACTAAAACAGAAAATGTATATTTGAAAAAGTATTGAAACCAGACTGTGAATAGATGTAAAAGCAGATTAAATGTAACTAAAGAGAGAATTAATGAATTGGAAGATGTACCAAAGAGAACATCCGGACGAAAGCATAAGAAACTCAGCATAAGAAACTTGAGACGTGAGCAGGTCCACCGTATGTATAATTGGAGTCCGAGAAGGACCAAAGAGAAAGAATGGGCAGACACAATATTTGCGGAGATGACAGCTGAAAAATTCCCAAACCAAAGGAGACGTCAAGCCACAGATTGGAGAAGCACTAAACATTCTAAGTGGGATAAAGACGAAGAAAGCCACAGCAAGTCCCATCACAGTCAAACTGCTAAAACCAAAGATAAAAAAGT